ATCAAATCAAATCAAATCAAATCAAATCAATTTATTTGTGAACACAGGTTATACAGAAGGTTGTTTAACATACATTAATAGCATCTCTATGTTCTACCAATAAAATTGGTGTACAAATAGTTATTAAGTTAGGCAGGTACCAAGCATTATTAATATATTTAAATTAAACAAGTCTATAAGAATCGTGATAGTATGTCAAAATTTATCATTTAGAAATAGGTCAATAGAATAATATGTCTTGTCAATTAAAAATAATGTCAGTTTTCGTTTAAAAAGTCTAATATTATTTTCGTTTCTTATATATTTAGGCACTATTGGATTTTTTTCTTGCTAATTCAAGGAAATGAGTATGCTGTTTGACGCAGAATTACGATGACGTCATAAGTTGCAATCCAATACAAAATTCATAGAAAAGTATCGTTTTTGACATTTCAATAAATGTATTGAATTTGACTACCTGTCAGCTACCATATTGTGATCTTCAAACTGGCTTGCCAAGCATGGGGATTATGAGAAACCATTCATTAGTAGAGGAGACTCATCGACCCGTAGTGGATACTCATACGACTTACATAATCAGACACCGTTGAGTAAAATAAAAGAAAATATCAACTCACCATAGCATTTTTAGGTTCTTTTAGTATCCGTACGAGCAGATCTTGATTGAGACTATGGAAAGGTACTAATACGGGGAATCTTCCGACGAATTCCTGCAAAAAAAGATAAATAGAATGAAATAAGAGTACATTTGCAAACACATATTTTTACCGATTGAAGTATAAACACGCTTTTTAAATTAAAAAAGGCAGTTATGAACATCAAACAATGTTTCTTTTACAAATTACGTTTAAAAACTGTTATTTTAATGTAATAAATTTACTAAAATGTTCTATTAACGAATGTTGAAAGGCTGTATATGTAATTTTAAGTTGTAGGTACTTAAAAATCGTGCCATCTCTGTCATTTTACAAAGAATTTGTAGTGCGAAACCACATTAAAATCGGTTCAGTTAATCGCGAGTAATTCACGTACGAACATACATATACACGAGTGAAATTAAGAACACCTTTTTTAAGTCTGTTAAAAATATATTTCACAGGTGGCGTATTATGACGTTTTAAAGGCAGAGTGGTTCCATTGAGGGTACGAGATCTCACTAGACGACTTGTATAAGCTCTGTTTCTTTCCTTCAATGGAACCATATTGACTTTAGGACGGTATAATATTTGTTTACTTAATTATGTAGATTTCTGTGCAGTAAGTTAGGCATACCAGAAGTATACCATTTATTTGACATTATGTGTCTAATAAATGGCTTATAAACAACAAGGTGTCGTACCGGTATCATCCCGAAATCGATGAGATCCCTCGCCTGCACCTTCCGCAGCCAGGCGTCCCGCTCGTCGTTCTCAGCGCGCGCGGAGTCCAGCGGCGAGGCGTCGCTCGCGGCCGCGGCCAGCGCCGCGCGCCGCCCCGAGCGCGGGTCCCACGCGCCGAACCCCAGGTACTTCTCGTTGTTGCGACGCTGCACCAGTCTGTACACCACTCGATGACATCAATATCACTACATACTATAAAACATACGAGCTACCCGCCGTCTGTCTGTCCCTATGTATGCGCCCCGAGCGCGGGTCCCACGCGCCGAACCCCAGGTACTTCTCGTTGTTGCGACGCTGCACCAGTCTGTACACCACTCGATGACATCAATATCACTACATACTATAAAACATACGAGCTACCCGCCGTCTGTCTGTCCCTATGTATGCGCCCCGAGCGCGGGTCCCACGCGCCGAACCCCAGGTACTTCTCGTTGTTGCGACGCTGCACCAGTCTGTACACCACTCGATGACATCAATATCACTACATACTATAAAACATACGAGCTACCCGCCGTCTGTCTGTCCCTATGTATGCGCCCCGAGCGCGGGTCCCACGCGCCGAACCCCAGGTACTTCTCGTTGTTGCGACGCTGCACCAGTCTGTACACCACTCGATGACATCAATATCACTACATACTATAAAACATACGAGCTACCCGCCGTCTGTCTGTCCCTATGTATGCGCCCCGAGCGCGGGTCCCACGCGCCGAACCCCAGGTACTTCTCGTTGTTGCGACGCTGCACCAGTCTGTACACCACTCGATGACATCAATATCACTACATACTATAAAACATACGAGCTACCCGCCGTCTGTCTGTCCCTATGTATGCGCCCCGAGCGCGGGTCCCACGCGCCGAACCCCAGGTACTTCTCGTTGTTGCGACGCTGCACCAGTCTGTACACCACTCGATGACATCAATATCACTACATACTATAAAACATACGAGCTACCCGCCGTCTGTCTGTCCCTATGTATGCGCCCCGAGCGCGGGTCCCACGCGCCGAACCCCAGGTACTTCTCGTTGTTGCGACGCTGCACCAGTCTGTACACCACTCGATGACATCAATATCACTACATACTATAAAACATACGAGCTACCCGCCGTCTGTCTGTCCCTATGTATGCGCCCCGAGCGCGGGTCCCACGCGCCGAACCCCAGGTACTTCTCGTTGTTGCGACGCTGCACCAGTCTGTACACCACTCGATGACATCAATATCACTACATACTATAAAACATACGAGCTACCCGCCGTCTGTCTGTCCCTATGTATGCGCCCCGAGCGCGGGTCCCACGCGCCGAACCCCAGGTACTTCTCGTTGTTGCGACGCTGCACCAGTCTGTACACCACTCGATGACATCAATATCACTACATACTATAAAACATACGAGCTACCCGCCGTCTGTCTGTCCCTATGTATGCGCCCCGAGCGCGGGTCCCACGCGCCGAACCCCAGGTACTTCTCGTTGTTGCGACGCTGCACCAGTCTGTACACCACTCGATGACATCAATATCACTACATACTATAAAACATACGAGCTACCCGCCGTCTGTCTGTCCCTATGTATGCGCCCCGAGCGCGGGTCCCACGCGCCGAACCCCAGGTACTTCTCGTTGTTGCGACGCTGCACCAGTCTGTACACCACTCGATGACATCAATATCACTACATACTATAAAACATACGAGCTACCCGCCGTCTGTCTGTCCCTATGTATGCTTAGAACTTTAAAACTACGCCACGGATTGATTTAAGAATCAAGGAAGCTTTATATGTATTTAGGGAACCGAGAGTAAAGTTCCCTAAGATCGGAAAAGGAGGATCCTCCGACCAGGCGGGGTGGTCGTATCTGGGGGGCTTTCTGCCCAACAGTTGTTCGTTGGGATTTTCTATCCGTGTTTAACATGCATGTAAACTTTGCATGTGCAATGTAGGATTTTTGTGACGTCATATATTGATATGTACCATGTTTCGCCACATGTATAATACATGCATATTGCACCTGTGCGAAATCGGGGCGGGTCGCTAATTACTTGTATTCGTGTGAATATTCCAACATAAGATAATGCAGGTGCTATCATTGTCTTTTTCCGTGAATTACAAATATATCTATAATCTTTTGAAGAAATGGTATTTTTTTTTTAGTGTTCACAATATTTACACATAAAATAATATAAAATAATGTAGGAAGTTTTTTTAATGTTGTCCTACATTAGGATTGTCTCCTGTATCGTGCGTGCGTTTACAAACATACAAATTCACATACACATCACATCCAGACTAGAAACAACAATTTGCGGATCACAGAAAATTGTTTCGTACGGGAATCGAACCCGCAACACGTTGCATTGCAACCAGTTGCTCAACTACACAATTAAAGAAGATGGCTACTTATTTAATTACGTTAATTACGTAAGCTACGTTATCAAGAACGAATTCAGAAGTATGAGTCCCAGTGTAACTTGAAAATAATCGCGTCACCTAACAGTACAAATAATAATTAAAATAACTATAGTGAGATATACTAAATTAATTAAAATCGCGGGTTACTCACGTGAATATACTGAAAAAAGCTCTAATAGTTTCAAACCACAGAGGGGTTCTTTCTCTTAAGCAGCGTGCGCGGTCGTGGCGATGTCGCGTACTCACTAGTACTCAGAGCTTTTGTCAGTACATTCACGTGAGTAACCCGCGATTGACAAATAGTTTTGAAGTCAGTATGTGTGTCGCCACGTGGCGAGGGCGACGTGTGAGTAGAGCGCACCTGTCGAGTCCGTTGTAGGCGCCGCTGGCCACGAAGAGTATGTTGGTGGTGTCGACCTGCACGGCGTCGCCGCGCAACTTGCGCGAGTTGCGCTCCGGCACCGACACCACCGCGCCCTCCAACATCTTCAGCATGCCCTGCTGCACGCCCTCGCCTGCACCGGACAGACACATGTACTACGTACGACTCGACACACAGATATATATTGTTCTCATACGTGTCATTTGTGTTGTATGACCACCAACTTGCTCAAAATTATATAGGAACACAGATAATACAAAGATATTTTTGTCAGATTCGAATAATGCGTGATCCAGACATCTGATTTATAACATAACATCACGCCATTTATCCTCAAAGAGGTAAGCAGAGGTGCACATTATGCCGCTGTACATACAATACAACACCCACTTTTCACTATTTATGTTATGAGTCCCATGTAATAGGGGGTGAGCCTATTGCCATATACCGGACATGATTCCCAACTCCGTGCTACTACTGAGATTTTTTTTTAAAAACCCATTAATACTTTGCCTGTCCCGGGAATCGAACCCAAGACCCTTGCCCGGCACTCGCACTTGCGACTACTCGGCCAATGATTTATAACTGGCTTATATATACAACAATGAAACCGTATGAGTAAAAATAGTTGTTCTATGATGTATTGCTTATAATGATAAAAAAATCGTCGTCTGCTCACCTCCAACATCTCTAAGTTGGTGTATGCCCGGCACTGCACCGATTTTGTCCACCTCGTCTAAGAACACGATACCCGTCTGTGCTCGCTCCACGCTGTAACAACGGAAAATTTGAATCATAACTCAAGAACAAGATTTAAGGAGACTTTAACAGAATAATAACATTTACCACAATATTTCGCAAGATGTAAACTTATGTCTGCAATGGACACTCCGGGCGTCGGGAATCGCGGGGCTATCTCCGGTTCGCCGCCCGAACAGAACCAAATCCGAGCGTGCGGCGCCGAACGTCCCGCGAGCGCTTCAAAGAGCCATCAAACCACGACGGATGAGGCCCAATAGGGCTGATGCCGATACGGACTCGCGGAGAATTTAACGGCTCACCGGGGCTCCGGCTCGAAGTGCAGGAGTAGGAACGGGGTGGTTTTTAGTCAGTAAGAGTCTGGCACTCCCTCCCACCTCACCCAGGCGGGATGAGGATGGATGATTTTCCCTCTTAAAAAAATGTCTGCAATGGTATCTTAGTGGCAGACGCTTAGTTCCAAAACCATTGAGTGACTCCAAACGCGTTAAAACTGCGGTGGACATAACATTGCAGTTTTAAAGTTAAAAAAATCTTTCTACTTTATAGGTATATATGGTGTAACTCACTTGAAGTTGGCGTCCTGCAACAGTTTGGCGATGACACTCTCGATGTCCTCGCCGACGTACCCAGCCTGTGTGAGCGTCGTACAGTCGCAAATCGCGAACGGCACGTCCAGGCATTGCGCTATCGTTTGTGCTAATAGAGTTTTACCTGGAACCAATAACAAAATACATTGGATTTTAGTCAGTCGGTCGATAAACTAAAAAATACAGTCACAATTTATTATCGGAATGAAGCATTTCACCGAAAATACAATGCTAACAACTTTTAATTTAAATGTTTTGTAACAGTTCTTTTAGTTTACAATGAACACCTTATATAAAAATGAACTTAATTTAAGATTCCAATGCCATGGCTCCAGATAAGGAAACGAACGAACACGTTGACTTTTACATTTTGTACAAAAATAAATAAAAATATGCAAATTAAAGCAACGAGTGCATTCGTATTCCAAATATAAATTAAAAAAAAAAGAAATTGCTCAACATTTTACAAAAATAGTTTTTTAAACAGGCAACACTGTCTGGTCATACAGAAAGCTCATTATTTGTTTGTAATTGCGGCAGGGTGCGCGTGAGTTGAATAATGTAAGGAGTTTGTTCATTGTTAAGATTTTGTTATGAAATTGTTGCAGTCTGTGGTTACTCATTTGTTATTACGTAAGAACCCTTTTGTTCTAAATTGTGTTTGTATGTCTCGTTTTCTTGGCCAACTGCCAGGGTTCAGGGTAGAAGTAATTTCAAGACAAAATGCTTCTCAGGTGATTTGACCTTATCTGATTGAGAATGAAAAATTGCAGAACTACTATTCCACTGAAAATTGTTGCAAGTCAGTAGAGATTAAGAAATAAGAATCAGAATCAGTGAGAATGCTAGCTAGTCTTATTTAAAATATTGCATACTCGTTGCATAAAATCAGTCTTGCCAGAATCTGCCAAACATTTGTCAATAAAGAACAAAAAGCTGTCTATTACCAAATACTTGATTTTAATATCCTAATATGTTCATCAGTTTTAAAGACTTTCTAGATATATTATTTCCTATTTCGAAAACGGCCTTAACAGTTTGTGATTTAGATGTATCTATTTTTTTATATACCACGACGGTGGCATATATGCACACGGCCCACTTGATGGCAAGTGGTTACCGTCGCCTATTAACGCTTGCAGACCCATAAAAATACCTATTTAGTCCTTTCTTGAAGGATCCCATATTATATAAAAAATGCGTTAAAGAATGCTATAGGCTGATAAACTTCTATAATCCCAGGTTTCAAACAAGTTTAGCCCTACAGGACTAGAAAACATTCCGACTGTAGGATTAGTAGTTAGTAAGTATTACAAAATGATACCTAGATGACATAAACAGATAATACTTTTGCAACAAAACATCGTACTGCAGTTAATGAGAATCCTTTAATTTGCACTTTATGCTCTCTGCATACGAAACAGTTTTGATCGTTTAGCATTCAGATCTCGTGTTTATGGTCATCCCACCCACGAGCGACTCGGTAAGGAATTAAAGAGTAAAATGTTGAAATGTTGGCCTTGGATTACTTAATATGAAGAAGGTATTTATATTAATAACGACTTATTAAGATGTCCGGGCCCTTAATTTGTTGTTGAATGATATCTCCGATCAAGTTGTTTAAGGTCAAGTGAATTCACATCATACTTATTGTTATTAAGTAACAATTTTTATTGTTTTCGTTTTTATGTCCTTAATATTGATTAGTATATTTTTTACAAAGAAGTTATCCTATCCTCTCTAGGTGTAGATAGAAATCACGTTATTCCAAATCGCCATCCTAAATACTTAAACATTGTTTTTCAATCTACCAAGACTTCCCTTCCTCTTTTGTTTAGGTATCTCATTTCCGGGGAAACACCTTATTCAATTACAATAATATTATTATTATCCCACCAAAATCAATTACATCTCAATATTACAGCACCTTCGAACACACCCAATACAATCATATAGTGCAAGCAATGACAAGGTATATTTTTGTTTGAATTTATTCTCAATTTTGGTAACGCGAGTGTTGTACTAATATTGGCTTATCGAGGGACTGGAGTGCGTCATACCTGACTCATTGTTTGATCTGTTTAATATCTTAATACACATATACACACGAAAGCCTTTGCCTAGTTGGAATAGACTGAACTAAACAGCGCCGCTTACTGTTACAAATTTTGCTTAAAATCCTAATCCTTCTAAATTGAGATTACCTAACGAATGGGGTTCCTTGCTCGTACTTCTCCATTCGAATCTACATTTTGGAATAAGCACCTAGCTTCATTGACGGACATACTGACCTATTCTGTATTTGTTGTCGTTTCAAAAGTACCAAATTATGGTTTAATTGAAATAAATGCTTTGACTATGTTTTTATAATAACTATAGTGAGACATACTAAATTAACTAAATTAGTGAATGAGGAAGAACCCCTCTGTGGTTCGAAACTAGTAGAGCTTATCTCAGTACACGAGTAACCCGCGATTTTAGTTAATAAATGCTTTGACTGTTTTAGTCTTAATTTATTATACTTTTCTTTTTTGAGAATGCTAGCCCAAGATGGCGTGTTCATTCGCCATGTCACAACAAACAAATCTAAAAGATAAATCTTGCTGTCACGTCGACAACTAACATTTAAATGCCACCTACATTCAGGTCACGTATTTGTATTCTACACAAACTTATGCTTTACACCTCTTTATCTTTCTTTTTACATCTGCAAAAAATCAGCCACATACATAGGGGCACATATTATTATCTACACACAATCACATGCATATCGTCACGCCTTCCTCGTTTCACACTGGGCTAGACAGAGACAAGGGGTCTCCAAATGACTCGATTTGGGCATACCACTTTCGCTTCATCAACATCCATCAATCTCATGCCATCTTACTTCTCACTTAACATTATAAAGAAAGTTTCGCGAGTTTGTGTGTATATTCGTTACTCAACCACGCCATTAAACGGCTGAAGGGAGAAGATTGAAATTTGGAACAGGGATAGTTTATGGCCTGGAAGTCAGAACCCATGCAGAAGCTAGAATACATCATACGAAACTCCGACTACAATACAACAAGTCTACTGATATCAACTGACTGCACGGTTGGTGCGGTGGCTGGGCAACCGGCTGCCGTGCAACGTGTCGCGGGTTCGATTCCCGCACGGAACAACACTTTGTGTGATCCACTAATTGTTGTTTCGGATGTGGGTGTCATTGTGCCCAAAAAGGGCGATAGAACAGACCCGACGAATTACAGGCCTATCGCTATTACCTCCCTTCTTTCCAAGGTGATGGAGCGAGTAATCAACACCAAGCTCCTTCGATACCTAGAGGAGCACGACCTGCTCAGCGACCGTCAATACGGTTTTCGCCACAGTCGCTCGACTGGTGATCTTCTAGTGTATCTCACACATCGCTGGGCCTCGGCCATTGAAAGTCAAGGTGAGGCATTGGCAGTTAGCCTAGATATAGCGAAGGCGTTCGATAGGGTCTGGCACCGGAGTCTTCTGACGAAGTTGCCATCATACGGACTGCCCGAGGGATTGTGCAAATGGATTGGTAGCTTTTTGTCCGGCCGACGCATAAGAGCCGTCGTAGACGGTAGTTGCTCTGAAAGCATGGACATAAACGCTGGCGTCCCACAAGGCTCCGTACTTTCCCCGACGCTGTTTCTTCTGCATATCAATGATTTGCTGTCTGTTGAGGGTATTCATTGTTATGCTGATGATAGCACCGGGGACGCATTTTACACGGGCCGTGCAAACATCCCTCGTTCCGTTGTGGAAGAAAGCCGCGTAAAACTTGTGTCTCAAATCGAGAGTACCTTATGCCGAGTCTCCGATTGGGGTCGGGACCATATGGTCCGGTTCAACCCCTCCAAGACACAAGTTTGTGCGTTTACCGCTAAAAAAACCCCATTCGTTGTGGCCCCTAAATTCCAAGACACTACCCTTAACATCTCCAAAAGTATAGGTATCCTTGGTGTCGACATATCTAGTGACGTCCAGTTCCGTAGTCACTTAGAAGATAAGGCCAAGCTGGCATCTAAAAAACTCGGTGTACTGAACAGAGCGAAGCGGTACTTCACGCCGGGACAAAGACTGCTTTTATATAAATCGCAAGTTCGCCCCCATATGGAGTACTGCTCTCATCTCTGGGCAGGAGCGCCAGCATACCAGCTTGGACCTTTTGACGCGGTCCAAAGGAGAGCTGTCAGACTTGTTGACGATCCTATACTTACGAGCGGTATCGAGCACTTAAGTCTAAGGAGAGATTTTGCCTCCTTGTGCGTGTTCTACCGCTTGTATAATGGGTTATGTTCTGCAGAATTATTTGATATGATGCCCACGGCCACTTTTTATCATCGCACCGCTCGCCATCGGC